TAATACCTTCGAGTGAATAAATGTGAGTCCATCTGAATGGCCAGCAAAAACACCAACAGGAAGCGGATGAGACTCGTTGAGCATCCTCCGATCCCAAACCTACAAAACAATCGAAACAGCAACTCTAAATGAAAAGTACACCCGGAACTTGGTTCGAACAAATAACGACCTTTCTTATTGGATGGTAAGGGGAAAAAGTATAGGGAAAGCATGAACATAACGAAAATCAAAGAAAAGAAACCAAATTAAGAAAAGTAGAATGGAAAATGGAAATAAATAGATATAAAAAAGAATAAAGATGGCATGGAATAGAATAAAAACAAAATTATTTCGTGGAAAATTTCATGCTACCAAGACAATGAAAAGCAATGCAAACCTTGCAGAGACCATCATCGCTACCACTGAATAATATCTGAGCACTCGAATCAGCAAAAGTTACCGCATTCACGTCGTAATCTTGGTCATGACCTAGAATCTGAAGGGAAATGAAAATCGTACAATGAAAAATAATACATATGAAAAAAAGATGTTGCGTGACCGAAAACTTAACACGAAGAGACTCAAAGATTCTTTTGCGTTACTAAAACTATAGATTGCTATGACGTCATATGTCATGTGACCTCATAATGATTTTTTTTATATTGGCCCTCAAAAGATGAAATCCTGGGTAGGACCCTGTGGTAATGATGATGACGATGATACGATTACAATACTACAATAGCTTACTCGTAAAATTCTTTGGTCACTCTCTCGGTCATAGATATAGATACAAGAATCATTGGATCTGCAAAATAAATTACTTGATCATTGGTTGACACGTTATTAAATGGGAATAGCCTAGTTTCATTGTCCTCACCCTGCTATAATTTCTTTGTTGTCTTGAGAGAACTCAATTGAAAAGGCACAAAATCTTCTACTTCTTGGCCTGAAAATAATACACTTGAAGTTGATGAAGTTTTTTTAAACTACAGTCAAATCCCCAATTGCGGAGTCCCGGGGTGGGGCTCCGGGGTAAAAGTACCGGTGATGCTTGGCGGATCTCTTAGGGGTAAGAATTCGTGATTTGGAATCTTTTAAGTTTCTGGAAATTTGTATTGTCTGGAATCTCTTAGGGTGTCGGAAAAGAAGAGAAAGAGCGCATCGATATTGATTTTCCTCTTTATCATTGGAACTGATTTAGTGATTTAATTTAGCAAGATTTGTTGTTCAACCTCTTAGGGGTTAAAAATCAGTCAGCCACGCCCTTTTTTCAAGACTTCCGGGATCTTTTGGGGGTCTTTTGGAAAATTTCCGACGAGTCCTACCCCCCATCTTTCCAATTGAAATAAACATGTTTCTTGTAGAATAAATTCGGTTTTGTTGAACGTTCTGACAACTTTTCAATTTTCAAAAATATACCCATGTCAAGTCATCATGTATATTAGATAAAACTCTAAAAAATAAGTCCAACTGTGGAAGTACTGCTCGAGACCAACTTACTTGAGATCCAAGGCAATATGTGTGTTGTAATCGCCATATATGTTACATAAGTGAACTGTATG